GGTCTTTCCCCCTGTTCTCTTTTCTAAAAATCATTGGGCTATCAAAAACTATTATTAGAAGATATTGGAAGAGGAGATAGAAAACAGTAGAATAACTTATCTAAGTTTTAATTAAGAATAAACCTATTTCAAATTTGAGATAATTTCTTATTTTAAATTGCTCTGAGAGACAAATTGATTTGCTTATGACAAATACTAGTTATCAGTCTAGTTACTAATCAGGAAATCTGACAAATTCATTTCACCTGTCTCTAATTTGACAAAAACAAATCTTTTTCTTTTCATTGCAGGAACCTTGACTTGCAGTCAAAATTAATCATTGCCGTAGATGTTGCTAAAGGCATGGAGTATCTTCACAACCTTACCCAGCCAATTATACATCGTGACTTAAACAGGTACATTGCTCTTTATGACACTCAAATCAGTTACCATAATTCTACATGTATGTATTATGTATGATGACAATATCTTCAACAGTCAAATGCTAAAATAGAAACTTTCATTTGAAGATTGAAGTACTTTCATAACTGAACTTATATTGCTTTAATAAACTGACCAATACTGTGTTCAGACAAAAGACAGTTTGATAACAACGGCTTGAACAGATTTAAGGAGTACCTGAAAATGCACATTTAGGTGAAGTAAAAAAAAGAAAAAATTGGGGAATACCAACCATCCATATTCCAACTTTTCCTTCAAATGAAATAAAGACCACAGCTCTGGTACCATTTTGTTGAATGTGTCAGTTCTAAGAATGCCTACATAAAATTCCAAAAAGAGGACTTAAACATTATTTATATGTAGTTCCTATGGTCCCTTGGACAACATCCATAGGATTGATTATTTCCATTCCGTCTGATATTAAACTTTGGCTTAATATCCTTGGATCAAATCCAGCATGGAGTCATCTTTCTCTGCCACTCTCTATGACTATCTGCATCAAAGACTGAAAGGAGTGTGGTGACTTGAGTTGCACTGAGACCAAAAAACCAGAAAACCTGGTCTTAATGTGTTCTCTCCCACTCCACACAATAGAAACTCTTTAAAAATGGAAAAGGGTGAAAATATACTGATGTATCTCTCCTCAGTTCTGCCCCGCTGGTCTTCAGAGCATTTGGTCAGAGTAATAGAATTGTTCTGCCTGACTGTCTTTTGTCTCATAGCCAGGATTCCTTTACTAAAAGGAAGTTCCAATAGTACAGAAGAAACTGCCAGGGAGAAAATGTGATATAAATAGTCTGTTGCCATTCTCACTCCATGTTTCTCAGTGCATGTGACTAGAAAGAAAAGGCAAGTAGAACAGGAGAAAGCCAACCACTGTAGATATTGCATGGAAGAAAGTGTAAAGGTTGAAGAAGAAAAAAATTAGATCTGTTTATCTCTCATTGAGAGATAACTCACTCATCACTGGGAGATAATTGATTCCATTTCAGCTTCTTGAAGTAGACCAGGCCTGTCCCTTAGCTTTTCATGGAGAACTCTTATGCTTGTTGTTCAGACGTTTTATAGATACTTTAGATGTTTCTTATCCTGTCTTGTTGGCAGGCTCTGCCACTTATATAGGGGGAGATGAAGTAGCCCACTGACTTGGAAGTGATCTTCCCTAGCTCATTTCTTAAAACCTCCTGCATTTTTTGAATTTCATTGTAATAATTAATTCCTAATCTGAAAGGCATCAACTGTCTCTCACGCTTGAGATAATTTTGGAAGTAATTAATTCATCCATCCTGATTTATTAACTCAGTGGGAGTGCAGGTGATTATTATTAGAACAGCCCCCCAACCTGCTTTGCATGACAGACATTTATTGAATCTGATATGTAAGAAAACCAAAATGTACCATTTGCGAAGAAAGAAAGGTTTTGATTCTTATGTTCTGCTGATACTCTCTTTAAAATTTTATTTATTTATTTATTTTAGCAATCGAAAGTAAGTCCAAGCCAATATTTTTCACTTTCAAAAATACAGTTTTCCTAAATTAAATACTTTTCCCCCTTCAGACTACCTCTTCTTAAATCAACTGAAGTCAAACAAACATAACTAAAATAAAATGCTTTCCACAATCAAGGACATACTCATACTTGCAGAAGAAAGTTGCTAAAACTAACAGCTCCCAGTAGTATTTGATGTACTTCTCCTGAGAAGAGACCTTCCTTGATGGGATGGGAGAAATTGAAGATGGAGATAAATCTGGTTTATAGTCAGGAAGATACTCAGGTTACACTTTTCTGAGCAAAGGACAGAGAAATTCACTTTTGTAACCCTTCTTCTCCTTACGTCATTCTTAGATCTGCCATCTTATATAAACTAAATAAATAGTTGTTGCTATTTATTTATAAATATAAATATTTTTTTCAGGCATGTACAAGGTTGCAAGAACAACCACCATTAGAATAATTATTTTATGTACATTTTTGTCTCATGTCTGGAGATGAACTCAGTGGAAGCTCCAGAGGAAAGCTCATGGTGTTTTAGACTATGGCTGTATACATTTACTCCTGATATTTGATATTAAATTCAAACTTATATCAGCTTGCCATGTGGATATGAATAAGAATATTGGTCATAACAAACTCACGGGCTGAGATAAATAATAAACACAATTATAGGATTTTTCTTCCTTCCAACTGCCTGTCATCTTTGTCTATTAATCTGTAGCAAGCTCAAAGCTTTGCAATACATTTAGCTGCATTGAAAGATTCCAGGGCTAGTAGCTCCTTTGTCAGGGAATGAAATGGGATTTATCTCTTGAAGCTTTGTGAAGAAACAGAAATGTCTTGCATTTCTAGTCTGTGTTAGTAGTGTGTTCAGGTTCTTGTATCCACAGAGTATTAAGAAGAATGGTATAGTATAGTTCATTACATTTTAAGATCAATATGAGACTTCCATTCTGTTTTTAGCTTAAATCTGTTGTATGTATGCCAGCACTTCTGGCAAGATAGGAGAACAAAAATGGAAAGTCAGCTCTCCGTGGATGATAAAAATAATCATCATGTCTGTATAGTTGCATGGAAGACTGAATGCTGTTCATGGTATAGACCTAACTGCAGGATTATTAACATTCTTACTTACATGTTTCTAATGGCTCAAAAATTAGGAACAAAGTGCAAGATGGTGGAGGTTTCCTTGGCACACAATTGCTTTATTCTGCTATTATGTCTGAATATAATATATTAATAGTAGTAAAATATATGCAGAGATGTATTCCAGCTCTGCTCAGTATGTCTCTATCTTCTCTGCATTAAGTCAAGTGATCCATCACAAGCTTCTATTGATGTTCATATGAACACTCAAATAATGCTATTAAATATTAGCTATCTTATAATATATGCAAGTAGAAGCTTCCTGCAGATCTTCATAGTAATATGGTAAGTTTCAACATATTGCAGGTATAGTAGTGAGTACAATAATCATGGTTCTCCTACTCACGTTAGTGTGCTATACAATATTATTGAGTCATAATTCCTACTAGCTTATTCAGATCCACCAAGAGAACAACTTAAATCTAGACTTGTGTGCTCTTTTATTTATTTAAGAAAATATATATAGCCTCCTTCTTACATACAAAGTACGGGAAGCTAACAATTGTTTATTAAAACAATTTAATAAAACCTTTACAATTCAAGCCAAAAACCAGAATTAAAATAATCATAATAAATTCAAGGCACCATGTAACACATTCAGCTACACAAACTGTACCTGTTTGGGCTCATGTAATGTCCTGGCCCAGGACCTGGGGGAAAAGCCAAGTCTTCAGAGTCTTCTGGAAGGCCAGGAGGGTCAGAATCTCAGGGAGGAGGCTCTTCCATGGGATAGCCACCATGGCAGAGAAGGGATGACTCTACGTTCCACAAGATAACTTTGTTTAATAGAGGGGACCTTGAGCATACCCACCATGTCAGATCTGATGGGACAGGCAGAGACCCTTGGAGATAGTAACCCCAAGTAACCTGGCCCTGTGCCATGCAGGGCTTTGAAGGTGATAACCAGCACCTTGAATTGTATCCAGAAGCATACTGGAAGCAAATGCCATTTGCGTAACAGCAATGTAACCCAGATAAACCTGGGTAAGCCTAAAACTCTGCATGCTATTGTATTCTGAACTAGTTGAAGCTTCCAAGTGTTTTCTGAGGACAGCCCCATGTAGAGCACAATGCAGTAATCCAATTGGGGAGTGACAAAAACATGAGTGACAGTGACCATGGCCTCCCAATCTAGGAACAGGAACGTAAGATGGGATTTGTGCTAAAGCCCCACTAGCTTTTTGAGGACTCCCAAATTGTGCAGCACCTCTGTCTGGGGGAGTATTCTCCATTGAGAGTTGGAGATTAAAAATCTCTGGATCTAGTGTGCCCCCAAAATTCAGATCCACTCATTCTTGGTAGGATTGAGTCACAGCTTGTTTATCCCCATCCAGACCCTCACAGCCTCTGGGCACTGGTTAAGCACCTTGACCGCATCACTTGTCAAGCCAAGGGTGGACATGTATAACTGAATATTATCAGCATACTAATGATATTTCACCCTGTGCTGAGAGATTACCTCCTGTGATGGAATGCTTCAATGAAGGCCACGCTTGGGGAGATAAGCATTGCCTTAGCCCCCAGCAGGAGCATGGGAAGGTTAAGAAGATGGGACTGGCACCACCCTAAGGAATTTGCGAGGTTTTGCTTGCTGGCTTGAGAAGTTTAGATTCAGTCTGGCAGGATTCTGTCTTGTGGTTGGAAGCTAATAAAAGCTATTGAACTAGACCTGTACTGTCTCGTGGAGTTCTTTGGGCTGAACCTGACATCTCCCCCAGTGGTGTCAAAATATTCTTATATATTATTAAATATTTGTGTTAAACAGGAGTGGTGTAGAGTCAAGCCCAGAGGCACCCTATGTAGAAGGGGCCTAGAGTTAAACCTCTTCCCATACCAACACTGAGTGAAACCAGCCCCAGAGAAAGAAGGAAAACCACTACAAAACAGTGTCCTCCACAGTTATCTGATATGTGTGTGCGTCTATGTGTGTGAATATTTGCATATATAAATGCAGAATTGCATATAAATATGGCTATAGGGTTTAGAGGAATACCCCAATAAATATGGCTATAATATTTAGAGGAATACTAATGGCAGCATTCTAAAAAATATGAGCCTGAACTTCAAATATAACTAATGGCTGATACAGTAGAGGAGGATCAATGTCAGGAGACCCAAATCTGCATTCCGAAGTACAGCCTTTTGTAACTAATTATAGTTCATTAATCAAATGAGGTGGAAAACCTGTCATTAAGCTTTTGAATAACCATTTCTGAACAATTCATAACCAGAATTTCTGCACCTGACAGGCAGTGAAAATAGGAACTGTGTTAAGTATTTATTGTAGTATAAAATGTTCAGTGGATGCTGCCTGTGTTAAGTCCTTACATTGTTATATATTTTCAGTGATCACTGTTCCC